GGCCGCCGGAAAAGCGCCTCGGCCACGTCCAGCAGCAGCAGCAGCCGCAAGGACCGAGACTTGAAGGCCCACCGGAGCCGGACTAAGTCGTCCAAGGAGCCGCCTTCGGCCTACAAGGAGCCGCCCAAGGCCTACCGGGAGGACAAGACCGAGCCCAAGGCCTACAGGCGGCGGCAGCGGTCCCTGAGCCCTCTGGGCGGCCGGGACGACAGCCCGGTGTCCCACAGGGCCTCGCAGAGCATGAGGAGCCGCAAGTCCCCCAGCCCGGCAGGAGGTGGCAGCAGCCCCTATTCTCGGCGGCTGCGCCGTTCCCCCAGCTACAGCCGCCACAGCTCCTACGAGCGGGGTGGCGACGTGTCCCCCAGTCCCTACAGCAGTAGCAGCTGGCGCCGCTCCCGCAGCCCCTACAGCCCAGTGCTCAGGTGAGTCCCGCCCCCCTGTCCTTTGCTTTGGCTTCGCTGGCGGAAATCCCAGGAGTCAGGGAAAGTGATATGAGACTCCTTAAAACCACCAAGTCCAGAACCTAGAGTAGAGAATACCACCTAGGGTGGGACATCTATTAGGGGTCGGCGATTCGCGCGCACATAACACTTTTTAGGAGGTGAGAGGGACTAGGCAACCGGGCGAATGGAGCTTTTCTGTTCTGGCGGTGAAGATTTCTAAGAGTTCAGAGTTTTAGACTTGTTGCTTTAACATATTAACAGGTATTTCTGAAAAGCTCGAACCTTTTCCAGCCCAGTTAGTTTAAATTGTTTTAATTTTGAAAGCTCAGTAAGAAGAGGTTTCACTGATGGCGATTAGGAGTGGACTGCAGTTTAGGGACCAAAAGCTAATCACAATCGGGTGATGATGTCAGAATTAGAAATAGATTGCAAATATTTTGTAATATTCAGGGATAGGGAAAAGCAGCTTTTCTATAAAGTTTATCCTTTTACTATGTGAGATGTTTAAGTGGAAGTTGATAGTAATAAATTCTGAAAATAATTTATTTTGTGATATTGTGTGGGTATAGCTTTTTACGTGATCTTTCAAAGTCGTCATTTTAAGAAGTAGAAAACGACAAGGTTGTGGTTTCTCTGTTGGTTTGTGATCACTCTCAATTGCCAATAACGTTATAAATCTAGGTAGTGTAACCCAGTGTAAACAAGTGAATGGATTAGAACATTTGCCTACCATATAAACCTGAAATTGCTTAAAGTTAACTAGGCCTTTAAGTATCAGGATCTTTGTTCAGAAAAATTTAAAGGGTTATAATTTAATCTTTAAATTGGAGTAAAACTTTTATGTAGCTATTCTGTTTTCTTGTGATGCAATAATATTCTCCAAAAAAAAAAAAAGGTGTATTGACATATGCTTAGCCACTAAGCCAAGTGAATTAAAACCTTTTTGAATATTTTGTAGGTTTTGTGATTCTTAGTTTCCTTAAGCTATTTGGAAATTGTAGGCCCTATGATTTAAGGTATTGCAAAAATAACATTTGGATTGCTGTTATTTTCCTATTGTTTTTAGTTTTCAGTAAGCCCAGGTGGGTACTAAGTACATCAAGTATGAGGTATGTGGAATCTAACTCAATACAATCTGTGTATCTGTAAAATTTGCAGATCTCTTTGAAGTCTCAGCATCATAAGTGTTTATAAGGATGTGATGAGAGTAGAAATCTGAACGTGAGTTTGTCTTTAAATCAAAAGATCTACAAAAATTTCTTTATTCTTACAGTGTTCGAATACTTAACGTGGCCTGTTGATAGTTTAAGAATATCTTCATTGAAGGCTGGGGCTGTAGCTCAGTGGCAGAACACTTGCCTACCATGTTCAAGGCAGCACCACATAAAAATGAAACAAATAAAATAAAGGCATCTGTATAACTACCAAAGGGAAAAAAAAAGAACATCTTCATTGACAACTTTTTCAACAAATTTAGCAATTATATCTTTTATTGTTTCTATACTTTTTTGTTCATTATATGAAGCTTTATATTTTACTATTTATTGTAGTATTTTAGATTTGGCAAATGGTTTGCATTTTCACAATTGGATTTGTTTTGTTAACTAAATAGGGTAAGTTTCAGGATTTCAGTTAGTGATTTTAATTATGTGATATCATTTTAAGAATAGACTAAACATTTTTTCATTTTTTGTATTATTTATTTTCACAGTATTGGGAAATGGATGCAGAGTACACTACTACTAACCTGTATTCCCAACCCTTTTTAAAATTTTATTTTGAGATGGTTTTGCTAAGTTGCCCAGGCAGGCCTCAAACTTTAATCCCCCTGTCCCAGCCTCCTGGATGGGCTGGACTGTGCAAAAGAATGATTTTGTATTTTTAAAATTTTTAGTTGCTAGATGTGTTAGGCCTTATTTTGTATAATACTGTACGTATTTTATTTAGTAATGGTTTATATGATTAGGTTTATCTATATTTTGCAAATACCTGAACACATGTGCTCAGTACTGTTTTAGTGACTGGAATATAGAACGGGAGAAAGACAAAGTCATTGTCCTCATGGAGCTTACATTTTAAAGGAATATTCATTACTGAATCATTTCATGGTGTGTGTATTGACCACCAATATTTCTAAAGAATTGGGTTTGGAATAAGCTTTTGAATATCTTGGCCAACATTCCTGACAGTTGACCATTTGGTGTGTAGTTGAGTACATTTAGAGGTAGGAAATACATTCCTTTGAGTCAGCCTGTTCCATTACATTTTGGACTTGAGTTCTGGCACTGGTTTGGCTAGTTCTTTAGCAAGACTTTTGAAGACTGAGTGTACTAAACTGTAATGGGGAAATGTTTTTTGTTTTTGGCTTTTTAAGGAGCAAGTGAAAAACTTTTTTTGTAAACAGCCCCATGGAAATCTAAGATGGTTGAATTATTATTGAATAGCTTGAATTGTTAGAATTGTTCATATGAAATAGAAATCCATGTCCATGTAACTTTGGAATGGTACAGCGCAAACTAGTTTTTTAAAACTGAGCCATAAAACTTTTCTTAAGCTGTGGTTCAGATTTTTTTTTTTTACAATACATTATGTATTAGTCAAATGTCCTACTTCAAATGTGGTACCCAGAATTAACAGTTAAAATAGCTGATTGAAAAACTGAAAGATTTTTTTAAAGCTAACACATGTAATTATTATTGTTTAGGAACAAATAATTGAACTCATTTGACCAGTTTAATGCAAAAAAGTTTTATATTTACTTCTAAAATTTAATAATAATGGTAGGTGTTCCATGTTTGTTAATGAGCAAACTGCTCCGTTATAAGCTCCATGAAGGCTGTCCTGTGTTGCCTACTATTGAATTCTTAGTGCTCAGTTTTGTATTTGGCACATATAGGTGCTTAATAAATAATTATTGAATAGGCAAGTGAATGGGTTATGGTGTTTTATTGAATATGGAAACTTATTGTGGATCTGGATTATGTACTTTTGGGGGAGACTAGTGATTGGACCCTAGAGCTTTTACCCCACTGAGCTATACCCTCTGCCAGCCCTTTTTAATTTTTAAGACAGTGTCTCACTAAGTTGCTTAGGGCCTCACTAAATTGCTGAGGCTGGCTTTGAACTTGTAGACCTCTTGCTTCAACCTCCCTAGTTTGCTGGATGTGATTATGTACTTTATTTAAGTGTTTATTATAGACTGAGTGTTATGCTGTAAGAAAAAGCATTGTGATCTTTTCTTCCGTCCATGTAGACTTTACATATTAACAAATTGTCAGTGCAGATATTTTTAAGGAAATGCATACTCATCTAAATTAGTATTGAAACTATGGTAAAAAGATATTTTTTGATGTTACATCCTAGAATATTATTCTTCTCCATTCTACTTCACAACCTGTTTTTTGCCCCTTTTTTTTTTTTGTATTTTCAGTCCTCAGCATGTGCATTTCTTTCTTTTTTTTTGTTTTGTTTTTTATAATTTTATTTTTTCAATGTTAGTGTGCAAAAATACAATTGATTTTTGTGTATAGACCTTTGATGTTGTCATCTTGTTGAATTCAATTATTATCTCTAATATTTTATTTGGGAATTCCTTAGGATTTTCTGTATATAAGATCATGTTACCTGCAAAAAGAGACGGTTTTACTTCTTTTCCAGTCTGGATTTTTTTTTTCCTTTTTCTTTTTTTAATTTGTTTTAGTTAGTTACACATGACAGTACAATGATCTTGACATATCATACATTAGAATCAGATGGGTGCATTTCTTTTCATCAGTTCTTCCTTAGCTTTTTTTTTTTTTTTTTTTATGCTTGATTGAGGTGTGTAGTCACTGAATCTTTCTGATTGGCCTTACAATAAATGTGAAGTGTATTGAAAAGAAGGGCTGTTCAGGAAAGGAAGAAAATGGTACTTAGTATAGTGTTTTACTGTTTGCCAAGCATTTATAAATACCTACCATTACATTTGCCTACAAATCCTTGTGATAGATAGTCGGAAGCATTCTCATTGATGGAGTGGGAAATAGAATCTCTAAAAAGTTAATTTGTTCTAAGGTCAGCTTAGATTCAAATCCTGAGCCTTTTAAAAAGTACATGGTCTTTGCTGGGCACCCTGGTGCACACCTGTAATCCTAGCAGCTCAGGAGTCCGAGACAGGAGGATGATGAATTCAAAGCCAGCCTCAGCAAAAGTGAGGCACTACAAAACTCAGTGAGATTCTGTCTCTAAATAAAATACAAAATAAGGGCTGGAGATTTGGCGCAGTTGTTGAATGCTCCTGAGTTACTATCACAACCAAAAAAAGTACTCGTCTTCATATTGTGTTGTTTTGAGCCTCAGCTGGCATTCAGGAAGCTGGCTATCTTACTAAATGACCTGTTTTGCTAACATTCAACCCATTGGGTGTTTATATGTTAATTTCTATTCTTTGACCATTTTTTCAATGTTTTTAGAATTTTTTTAAAAAATGCTTTTTTTCTCTAAACATTCAGCTTATCTTTTTTCTTTTTTTTTAATTGGTTGCTCAAAACATTACAGTGATCTTGACATATATCATACATTTGATTCAAATGAGGTATGAATTCTTATTTTTCCACATGTCAGCTTATCTTTATTAATTCATAGGTTTTTTGTTGTTGTTGTTTTTGAGATACTAAAATGGAACCTCTTGCTTGTGGCCACCTCTCTACCTAGAACTATACCTCCAGCTCCAATTTGTAATTTTTATGAACACTGAAAGGATTTAAAGCTTTTGGATATTCTACTTTTCTACTTTGTCTTTACAAAGATTGGCCTAAAATATTTCTTTAAGATATTATAATTAATTATCGAAGATTGTTTTACTGTGGGATGTGTTGATCTTAAGTCAGTATGATTAATTTTTATATATAATTGGTTCTTTTTATCTCTGGAAATTCCATATTATCAAGAAGCAGCAGAAAGCTTTATTATGGAATAATATCAAGACACTGAGAATCTTA